CGCATCCCAAGAAGCACCTCAGTCCAGGGAAAATTAGGAAAGTCGTTCACCCAAAGGCTGATAATAACATCACTGACCTACCAGAATCCAGAAGCAGAGAATCAAGGCAAGTACTATTCTTATGTGGGTGGCTCACGCCTTTGCTCTATAGATTTGGAGAAAAAGGAGTTTCCTGGGGTAATATCCTGGTATTTTCCCTTCATCTGCATTCAATTGTTCTTCTCAGCCAGCAACCTACAAGCAGCCCTGCTTTTAAATGGACCATGCCTCCTTACAGAATATTACGTCTTAAAATGTACCTTTAAAAGGCCATAACACGATTTTAAAACAGAGATATGGAGTGATTAATCCACAATGTAGAACTCTGTTCTGGAGGTTGAGACCAGCCATTACAAGGTGAAAGCATTTATACAGTCGTCAGTCATCTGCACCAAACCTTGCTTTAGTGGAGGTCTGGGGATTTCTAATGACCCCTTTAAGAACGTCCTGTTTCCACTTGACTCAGTCCTAGACTGAGAAGCATTATTCAGGTGCCCACTGAATACCTAGCTACAGCATCAATTGTGCAAAGCCCCAGGATGAGGGACACAGCAGAGCATACCAGAAAGAGTCTAGGGTTAGGAGACGAGAATCTGGGTTATAGTTTTAATTTTGCTGTTAACTAGCCTGTGTGACCTTGGGTAAGTCACTTGAAGTCTCTGAGCCTCAGTTTCCTAATCTGTAAAACAGATTCCAATGCCTGCCTCAATTGCAACAAATGTGAAAGAGCTTTGAAAAATACAAAATATTAAACAAGGACAAGATATCTATAGATATATGTATAGTGAGGGGACTCTGAAAAAGGAAGGTGACCTTTGAAAAAATGTAACCCTAAGCAGAGATTAAGCACAATTACTGGGATCTGCGATGAACCTTCACTTAAATCACCTGCCTCCCTGAAGGACGGGAAAGGAGGCACGGGAAGTCAGGAAAGCACAGCGCAGCACAAATGAGCTCCAGTCCAGACAGAAGCTATCAAAGATCTAGGGATGTCAGGAAAGCCACAGTGTCTCATTCTGGTGTGTTCGGTGACAAAGACATAACCACAAAGTGAGTCATTTAAAACAAACCACCAGAACAGGGTGGCAAGATCCCCAAGAGACAGAAATACGCATAAGACATATTCTATTAATGTGTCTTTACATATTGAGTCTCTAGCCTCGGAACGTACGGCAAGATGTTTTTTCTTGCCATGTTTGCTTGCATACAGGAGGGTCACAACAATTAGATCATCCTCATCTGAAGCCCAAATCGGACTCCTTTCCTAGAACATATTTTTTAGTGACAGTCCCTAAATAGCTAGCTTCTGCCACAGTAACACTGCATAGTAAACAACCAGCAAACCTCAGTGTCACACACCAGTGAATATTTTTGCTCATGAGTCTGAGGGAAGCTCTGCTGATTTCGGGCGGGCTCACTTAACACACCTGGGTCCGCGGGGGGTTGTGCTGACTGTGGCTGGGCTCTCATCTGTGTTTAGGGGTTGGCTGACTAATACAGAGTAGAACCATCTGGATCAGCCCATATGAGCTGACCAATAAAATATAGGATAAGCTCAACTAGAATTTCACATAAGTAAAAAACAATTTTTTTAGTATATGTCCCCAGTATTTGCTAAATCTGGCAAACCTACCCACGTGCCTCTTTTGTCCCCCTAGCAGGGGGCATGTTTCGAGGGGCTGGGGACAGAGCAGCAGCAGCACACACGGGTCTTGAGCCCTGGGCTCTGGGAGCATCATTGTGTTCTATGGGCCAAAGAAAGTCACAAACCCAGCCCAGATTCAAGGACTGCAAAGTCACACGGAGAAAAGATGCAGGGGAGGTGAAAACTGGGGCTATTTTGACAAACCATGTACCACCATCCCCGATGGCAAAATCACCAGCCAAAGACACGGGTAGAGTACCCTGTAAGAAAAAGTACTCAAAAGTCGCCTCTCCGTTCTATTCCAATACAGAATAGACGCCAGCTTGGGGAAGGGTTTCCTCAGGGCCTGCAGCTACGGTGGCAGAGACCAGGATTCTTGCCTGACTTTGTAAATCATCATCTCCTTTGCTTGCTTGGGCAGAACACTTCTCTGGGGCTCAGTTTCTTCATCTATAAAATGGCAAGCATGCACTCACAGGACCTTGCAGCTCTAAGATTCCATATTCTTGAATATTTTTAACTTGAGCAGCTTGCCTTCGTCCATCACTTTCCCCCAGCAAACTCTTTCAACCGAATCAACTTTATGACTATACTGGCAATGCTATAACTTAAAACCACCCATTATGGTCCTCTTGACTGCTCCTGTATTCGAAGCAAATTTAATCACCAGTACATATCCAATAAAAAAAATGAACAACTCCAGGCCGAGGGGACAGCCGCTCCTGGCAAGGAACAAGCCTCCTGAATAAATAAATCTGCTTTGCCCAATATTTCCCCCTCTTGATTTGAAGAGAGCCAGTAACCCTTTTTCTGTCATTGAATTAATTTGCTAGAAGTGGCTGTAATTTCTATATAAATCCTGAGATTGTTTCTAATTTACATGTTATATACGAATGTTTATGCATGTGGTGCCGGCCTAATGTTCTCCAGGGATCTTCTTGGAAACTGTATGAATCATGTAAACAAAATTAGACTGAAATAAAAAGAATGTATGATGTTTTCCTCACTAGTACTAATTTTTTTCTAAGTTTGGTTTTCTCCATAATGGTCTTCCTGCTGACTTTAATTATATTTATGGCACAATTATCCTGTGCCGGGAGCATCCTCGTGTGCCCGCTGCTCATTTGGCGTCAGTCTGGTATGGGGGATGCCCTGCAGCCGGGGGGGGGGGTACGGCTTGTCTGTTCTTTGTCCTTTTGGGGGGCCGGTGAGGACGCAGGGAATAAAAGGTGTTACAGCAGTATGCATGTGGCTTTTTTCCCTGCCCCGTTCCACCTCTGCACTACTTCATGAGGATGAATTCAGGTCATGGGCAAAACTGAAACCAGGTCCAGGGAGCTTCCTCTTTCTGTGGTCCCCCAGAATGCTGTTTGAAGATCATTCCTGCTGTTAATTAATGACTTGCCAGCTGTCTGCGCTGTTTGTGTAGCGTTTATGTATGCGCACGCGTCGTCCTTTACTCCATTTCGCAGACTAAACCAAACACAATGAACGTGTAATATGAATTAAATCTCCCATCTCTCTTTCCAGCAAGATGCCTGCTTAGCTGAGATGGTTCTGCCTTGAGAAATCCCAGGGGGGCTATGCTCACCCACAGGCGGGGAGACGGCCTCGGCAGCTCTGCTTTGCTGGGTGGTCCCACAGGGTCACGCAGAAAGCCGGCTGCACCCCAGGTCGGGGGTAATTATCAGCTCCGTGGTCTGGGTGGCCAGGCCACCACTCTTAAGAAAATTAAACTGTTCCAGGCCTCCGGAACTTCTGCCAGAAGACTGGGTCAGTATCTCCTCGGGACCCTTCCTTGTCACAATTTCTCTTCTCTAAATAGTAAATACTGTGTCTGTGATTGTTTTCACTAACTCCTGGGGCTGATGCCTGTCACAGCCGATCCGGGAGACAGCAGTGCTGGTTAGCACTCGGGAATATGAGACGTTCGCACTGACTCATCTCCAAGCTTCCTCTAACCCTGTGGTTCAGAATTGGGAGGGTTTTGTTATAAGCAGCTGGGTTTCTATCCAATCTCTAAGCCAACCTTCATCAGACTAGGTTGTCCCCATCCAAGCACCCCTTCCTGAAAAATCAAGGAGAATTATCATCTGCCTATGATAAAATTGGATAGAGCATAATAGTTCGATTTTTGTTGAACTATCCAACAACAACAGCACACAAAAACACTTTCTTTTACACTGTTAGGTTTAGAAGAAGATGACAGAAACATGACTAGGTCCTTAGGGAGAAGGGAGGGGCACGGATGTTTATTGAGCACATACTCTGTACCAGGTCTTGTGTTCTGCCTTGTTTCATCATCAAAACTACACTGCATATTCTATCATTTTGTCAATGATGAATCTGAGACTCAGAGAAGTTATCTCTAAGAGAGAAGAAACACAACTGAAAAGAGCATATGACTGTTAAGTGCCAAGCCGGGCCCTCCATGTCAGAAATGCAGCAGAGGCTGGGAAGAGAGAAAGGTGAGCAAGAGCTGGGGTAGGTGGTCCGGGAAGCACACAGAAGGCTTCGGTAAGCGATGGATAGCTGTGGGGGTAGAGAACATCCTGTGAGAGAATCCGAGTGAGGATGGAAGAGAACATGTTCTCTGGGAGCAGTGAGGGTGTTCGCCTGCTTCAAGACCGATGTTGTGATAGGAGGGAGCTGGGGGCTCTGGACTCTACACTCTCAGCGTTGGCAGTGGCCCAGTATGGGCACACGTCTGTTCCAAGTGGTCAGAGAAGGAAGCACAGCGACCCACATGGTCACACAGCCACAGGGGTCCTTCTGCCCCTTGGGTGGGGCCCTTAATCTAGCTGGCGGACTTTTCAAGGCTTACTGGGGCAATTAAATTCAGCATATAAATGTATATGTAAATACCACTTCTCCTAAAAACAATTAGTAAAATGAGTGCCCACAATGTGAGTATAAAAGTTGGACACCCCAGTGTTCTGTATTTAGTGATGGCATGAAACGCATCCAGCATAACATCTTTACCTTTTGGAGTTTATCCCTATTTCTATGTTTCTTTAGGACACTGCAGTTAATTCTGATGTGTTTGTGTTCTATTCCAATATCCCACAACTACTATCCTGTTTGTTCATCTGTCTTTATGAGCATGAAGATTTTCATAAAGGTGGGAAAGAAGCAAAGTACATTTGGGGAGATTACAAGGCAAAAATGTTTTTTAAAAATAGTTTTCCCGTTTTTTGGTGTGGGGAAGAGCAGGAGGTATAGCTCAGTGGTAGAGTGTAGGCTTAGCATGCACGAGGTTCTGGGTTCAATCCCCAGTACCTCCATTTAAAAATAAATAAATAAAGTAGAATAAAAATAAATTTTAAAAAAGTTTTTATTTTCAATATAGAATCAATTCAAGAAGAATTCAGTCTGCAAGGTCAAAACTAGGTCACATATCCTGACTTCCTTACACCCACAGCTTAATAATCTAAAAATAAAAATCAATTCTTGTCTAAGGGTTGTGAAGAGCTCATAATTGCTTTAGAGTGAAGCTCAGAATGACTGTGCCTTCTCCCCTCTCTTCCATTTCTTGGAGAGGAGAGTATCATTTTTCAAGTCCAAGGTATTACATTGCGTGGTAACCAAGTAGGGAAATCTGTTGAAGACGAAATAATTCTCATCATTACACTCTTCAGGCAAAAATGAGGCCCCTTCTTTAATGCTGCCTATAAAGATAGCAGAGAAGTAATATGAACCAATTGTTGGTTAGAAATCTTTTCCCTGTAAAAAAAAAAAAATGGTTCACAATCGTTTTTCTGCCTGCTATCATGGCAGTATTTTGAATTAAGAGCTTGCTTTGATTTTTACAGAAAACTGGTTGCCCCTTTTCCAGCTACTGAATTTTCTTACTCCTTAATCCCAAGATCCAGGGGTGTTTGGAACATCATTACCATACACACATTAGCTGTGTGCCTGGCTGGGGTGAAGTTCTGGTTTGTTTGCTTTATGAGATTTTGTGCCATTAAATAAAACCTTGGGCTTCTAGAACACTGATGAATTTCCCATCATAGCTACTCATCCATTTATATATGTGGATATTTGTAATAGGGACAGCCGTCCATTTTTATTAGCACCTTCTTATGGAAGTATTTAGCCTTCTAAGCAGCCAGAGTTTTTAAAAACCAATTCCTGGAGTTTTCATAAAAATTTAAAGTATCTATCAAGAGTCTTTTAACTGTAAAGATCAGCTATAAGATGGAAATGGAAGAATCCATTAAAATCTCATTATAGGAAGAGAAATTCCCTGCCACTTTTCCTCAATTCTACGCCACAGGAATGTAACTGCCCTCCCTTCCCTACCTCTGTCTCTATCTCTACGGCTCCCTATCAGAATCCAAGGGCTGGGGTGGGAGGGGCCAGTGGAGACGTGGGCACGTGGTCCTCGTCCTCAGCCTCGACCACAGATCCTGGATCCGTACCTGCTGTGGTTGGCTGGCTGCGATCCTTGCATCCTCAGTCCTGCTGCCTTCATTCTTCATCCACCACAACCTTGGAGAAGCAGAATAGGGTTTGAGTCTCCCAAACCCTATTTCTAATCAAAATTTAGACATTTCCACAACCTGATTTCTTTTAGACCAAGCCAGCGTTTCTTTTAAGCCCGGTCTGTTCTGTGAGGCCAGCTAATTAGCCTGCCTGTACCAGAAGTACTCACTTTTTATTACCTTTAATAAAACAAAGCCAGGTTTGAGGAAGTGTTGGATGTAAGCTGTCTCCAAAACCTCAGGAAGGGAACCCCCACCTCCCAAGCCCCCTCCTCCTCCCCAGGAAGATTTGTGGTCTGGTTAGAAGGACCATTTAGATGATGAAAGGAACCAGTGGACAGCCCCTGATTTATAACCAGTGTGATTTTTTTTAATATCCACCAAATTAATATTTTTATGTCTGTTCCCCCATCAGGTTGCTTCGGTTTGAATTTCAACGAGGGGAGCCTGCCAAGACCACGTAGTAAAATACGAACTGGATCATAAATCCCAGCAGGGGTGGGAGAACGTAAGACAGATTGCTAACACCTTTGAAAAAAAATTTTTTTTAAACAAAAAAGGCAGGAATTTGCTTTCAAGTATACCAGGCCCAGCAGGGAACAGGAGAGACACAAGCCGTCAGAACGTGAAAGCTGGTTTGCCTCCCCAAGATCACTTCTCGTGGACTCCAACCCATAGAAAGCCATTCCGGCAGGTAAATCAGGCCCCGTGGGCCTTCCATCTGACACCAGTGATGTTTCTCTGGGATGTGTGTTAGAGATAAGGCAGAAATACTCTCAAACGAGTACCTTCCAGAAAGCCGCGTCTTTCTGCATGCCTCCCTCTGGAGTGACCATTCACACAGCTCATCAAAGTCTCCTTTCATTAGTGCCACACCGAGGGAAATCAACACAGCTGGCAAGACGGAGTTTGAAGCTGTAAGAAGAAAGCCATGTGTTTCCTTCCTAAGACGAAAATCATTTCCCTACGAGGAATAAAGAGCTTTTACAAACTTTCTGGATGGATATGTCTTGGCGGGGAATGAGCTGATTACTCTCACACCCTCACTGTGTACCAGCAGGAGAAACAGAAGCCCTTATTTTGCTTAGTTTTCTAACAGGTCGACTATATTTGAGCATATATGGAAAAGTAAACGCCCTTAGAACCTACCTTATTATTACACCGATTTGGATAAGCCACAGATCGAGTCATGTCGGCTGAAACGTAACCGCTACCCGCAGGAGAAGCCCGATGCAGCTCAGCTGATAGCCCATAAAACAGACGCTAGTCCTGTCTGTCAACACCGCATTATAAAGGCGTCTCACTAATCCTCCTGCTGGGCAGCACTAAATCCTGGACCGATGTTGTCTTTCCATTCTGTCACCTGCCTATCCCTGGGTCTTAGGACACACAATTTGATAACGGGAGCCAGATGACCTGCTCTCGGCAGCTGTAACATCTCCCGCAACACAACTTCACCGGGAACTGACGGAGTTCCACGGAAAGCCACTCCCAGACCGAATTGCCCTTTCTCATCACACTTCACCAAAAAACCCTTTGGACCTTTGCTTTACCCACTCTGGGCTTAGAGGCAAAGTCATGGCTGCGACTTTCAGAAATCTTGTAAACAGGCAAGGGTGCAGCCCCCAAGAGGGACCAGATGTGTAAAGAGGCTCACACTGAATGGAAACACACGGAGGAACTCAGAATCTGGTTTTACTTTTTGGCTCAAGGATGTAAAGATTTTGAATTTGTCAGTATGAGCATTTCATTACAACCATAGGAGACGAATTATATATATATAATATATAATACATATAATATTTATATATATATATAAAAGATAATGTTAGTTTTTAGTTGAATAGCCTAAACCTTCAGCAAACTCTCACAAGTTCCCACAGTTGAGCACAAGCCCCACAGAAACCCAAAGTACATGAAAAGGTTTTTTCTAGGAAGGACATTAGTAGGACAATTACTGAAATTTGGAAAAGGTCTATAAGTTAAATAATAATACTGTAGCAGTGTTGATTTCCTAGGTTTAATATCCACACTGTCGTTATGTACGTGAGTTTAGGAATACACGCTGACGTAGTCAGGAATAAAGCCCAACGTGTCTACAACTTCCAAACCATCCCAAGAAAAGTATTAACCAGAAAAGTATTAGCACAAAGAGACACACACACACAAACACACACACACACACACACACACAATGATAAAGCAAACCCAGTAAAATATTAACATCCGAAGAATCTGAGTGAAGCCTATACAGGTATTCTTGTTTAATACAGATCTGAAATTATTTCAAAATTAAAAGGTTTTTTTTAAGGCTTCTTTTTTAGGCCTGCCAGAGTTATTGTCTCTTTTTCTTTTTTAACTTTCTTTTAAAATGTTTATTTTTAATTGAGGTATAATTGACATATAATATTATACTTGTTTCAGATGTGCAACATAATGATTGGATATTTGTGTATATTGCAAAACGATCACCAGGATAAGTCCAGGTGACATCCATCACCACACATAGTTACACAGCTTTTTTGCCTTGCGATGAGATCTTTTAAAATCTACTCTTAGCAACATTCACATGTGCGATATGGTGTTGCTAACTATAGTCACCATGCTGCACATTACATCCCCAGGGCTTGTATTTTGTAACTGGAAGTTTATACCTTTTAACCCTCTTCACCCATTTCACCCACTCCCTAACTCCCCATTGTCTTTTATTTAAAATAAAAGCCCAAAAGAATGCCTTTGTAAGTTTCTTTATTTGCTTCCCCATATCCATCTCAAAAAGGACTTGATATAGGTTCTTCCTATTTTGAATATCATTTAAAACCCTTGATCTTGAAAAACGGAGGACGTGGAACCGGAGACAAGAAAGGCAAAACACAAATTGCCACCAGTTACGTGAACATCCAGAGAAGAGAGATTCTGGAAGGAAAGGATCTGAATTCTCTAGGCCTAGAAATTTCCAAGCTATGACAGTTCTACCTCTGTGGCCCTCGGTTTCCTCATCCTTAAAATGGGTATAAAGCGAGGACTGTACAGGACCTGCCACCTGCTCAATCAGTGGTGTCTAGTCTCGGCTCTGCCACCTCTTCTGACCTCTAGTCTCCTTGTCTGGAACAATGGGACAGCACCCCGTGGCGTGAGGTAGGGATCACAGTCCACCCCACGTTTTCTGAGTGTCCGTGGAAGCCCAGTGGGAAAGACAGCCATCACCAAGGCTCTGCTCAGGCACCTGGGGGAGCTTCTTTGCCCTTTCAGACAAGCCTTTCCCTGTATCTCTGCCTTTGGTAATGGAAACATCCCAACTGCACTCTTTCCTGCTAATCAAATCCCATTTGGGCTGAAGACCTTGCTGATGTTTATTACCCCAAATCTGCTTTTCAGAGACTTCTGAGCTAAACATGTGGGCCCCAGCCCTGGGCCGAAATGGAGATTGCGCTTTCTTCTTTCTCTTTTTAACCAGAAACACCATTCTGCTGCCATGGGGAATGGATGCACCTGAGCACAAAGTGTTGTTCCCCACGCTCTCCAAATGAATGTGGGCCAGTACACGCACGCTCACGCCCGCACGCACGTTCTCAGCCAGTAAAAGCCAACAGCACCGAGGACCATCTGAAACCCACCAGCCAGCAAACACTGTCCCCTTTCTGGAACCGCTGGGGATGTAGACAACGTCCTGATGTGGAGCATGTGTGTAGCTTGAACTGGCGATAAATCGAGGCCCTAATCCTGATGCACAACAGCACAGGCAGTAACGGGCAAGAACGTCTCAGCCGCTGACACACCTATAAATCACGTTTATTTTCATAGCACATTTAAATAATGTTTTGGCCCTGGGGATTTTCCACCAAGTAATGAAGCATCACCCAATGAGAGTCTGCAACGTTGCTTGGATCTGTAATGCCCCTCACAGCAGAGAAATAAAATCTGTGATTTATATGGGTATCATCGGGGTGGTGCAAAGGCTTCCTTTCCTCTGCAAAAGACACTGCTTTGCATCCGGATTAGTGATGAGATTTATCTGCAAAATAAACAAAGGACAGGCCCCCGACGCCCTGTTTTCTCCCTGCGTCACCCCAGATGAGGTCTCAAACCATCGCACGCGCACACATGCACTCACTCACTAAAAGCACACCGCTACGCACACACACACACGCACAGCACAGGCAGATTTATTATGAGATAGAAGAGAGAACCATCTTGATAAAAAGATGATAATTTGTACATTGACGAAGATTTGTTTTAGCAACGGTTCCTCACAGGAGGCGTCTAGCTTCTGGGCTTGCGCTGTCCCTGAGCAGTGGCTGCCCTGCCCGGTGTGGTGTGGGTTCCTGAGACCGTCACCCAGTGGAGAGAAATCAAACAAGGTGAACATGCAATTCAAACTCACCTGCCACGTTCTATCTTCTTTTTTGAGGGAAAATATGATCTCATTTTAACAAGATTTTCCTTTGGATGGTCTTATGGGTGGTTGCCCCTGGTCACTCAGGACGAATTGCAAATAGTTCTGTTAAAGCCATCATGAATTCTTCCTTCCTTCCTTCCCTCCTTCCTTCTTCCATCTCTTTCTTTTTCCTTTTCTTCTTTTCTCTCCTTGGCAGCCTCCTAGTCACTAGAGCACACCAGCACCCGCAAGATGCCTTACCGTGGGGCTCCTGCCCTCCTTGCTAAGTGTAGGTTGCTTCTGACAGTTAGGGAAACACGTAAACTACATTTCAGTGGAGCATAACCTTGTGGAAATAGGATTCATCACACATGGATGCAATTCTACAGCTCATTCTGTGACTGCCAAACTGTTTCAATTCCATGCAGAAAACAGTGAAAAGAGGGTAATAACTCACGTTGTTCTGCCGCTTTGCAGTTAGCGAAACACATTCCTATGCCATATATTGTCATCACAGCTGGTCTTCACACAAACCTGAGAGACAGGTAGGGCAGCAGGCGGGCCAGCATCTTACGTGCGGTCTTTGCACTTGGAGAAGTCACTGCTGCCTCAAGGACCCTGAGGTGCCTTACTTTTCTGCCGTAGGTTCACGGTTTCAGGATCACTGGAGAAACCAAAAAGCAGAAAGCCTCGTACTTTAATACACAAAACCACTCCTTGGCTGGCCAAGAGTGGATAATGGATACCTGGTGGCAGCCTTAAATGCAGGGACACTAAACAGGCAGTTTCACTTGAATCAACCCAGAGTCAGGGTCAGGCTCGCTGGATGCTACCTGGATATTGCTGAGTGAGGGTTATTTCCCAGAAAAACACATTCTCACATTTACTGATGTATATTCCATTTTCAAGCCAAAGGGTGAACTTTCATTCATGCAATCTGATTTTTGTGGACTGGAGAGAGATTACAATGCTGCTTTGTGCAAAATTTCCTATGCCTTAGGTGAAGGTAAGCACATTTTCATGTTTTGGCCCAGGTCACAAGTTTAGAATGAAAATAAAATGCAAGCTCACATCTCCCCTTATCTTTGCAGTGGTCACATCAAAGAAAGTGCCCAGCAACCCCACATCTGGATGCGAATATATTCTTTGCTTTTTGTTATTTTAATTTTTCAAATTTGTTCTGAAGTTGCACAGTAGCCATCCATGTAGCAAGGGGAGATTTTTTAATTTACAAAGGTAATTGCCCTAAATTAACATTTAAAAAAAAAAGACAATTAGGAAAACCAGCATTGCCTAGATGAGTCATTGACTAATCCTTGACTGCTGGAGAGGGTGGCCTGCCCCTTACAAGCAGGGTAACCTCCCAGGGTAGCCGGCCTGGGGCAGTTTTGGCCAATGCGGCAGTTCTGGCTCAATTATTAATAGCTTCTCTTTCACTTTCACAACTGTCCCATATTAGATGCTAAATGATACAGTCAGCCTACCTAAAAGCTGTAGGAAAATCCAGTTGAAATAGGTCTTAGTTTTTAAGGGCTTTGAAAAAAAAAAACCTGAAAGTGGAACTAGGGGAGCAGAAAAAAAGGAAAAAAAAAGAAAAGAAGAAATCTGTAGCGGTCAGCTCCGTTGTTGAGCCGTAGAAGACTTAGTAAGATTGTATCTATTTTGTTCATGCAATTCTAATTATGAGCCAATAATGTGGAATAGGACTAATTTTATTATAACCACTAGTCTGCAATAAAGCAAATGCACAAAATAATTTGTTGAGTCATGAGGCCCTGATACAGATTAACTCAAGTGCTCACGAGGGCAGCAAGAGGCAGGCCCATGTTTCCCATCTCATCTCATGTCCTCGTGGCTGGCGGGTGGGAGGGAGCTGGTCTGCACCCAGTTTGGTTAGCAAATTGCAAGTAGATGGAAATGCCATCCTAATTAGATTCTGGATGGCGTGAGAGGCAGGCCCACGGGGCTGAATGAGCAATGGAATAAGCACGCCTCCCTGCCTGGACCGCATGTAGCACACAGGGCGCAAGCCCCAGATGCCCCCACGGAGCAGCCCTGGCTTTAGGGAAAGGAGTGGTGGCATTTTTCAGTTACGGGGCTTTGGTCTCCCTTGAGCAAAACAGGGCTGTATCTTTCCACTTCTGGTGGCACTTCACACCATGATGCCCTGTTTAAGGCTGGCATCCCCGTTGTAATTAGCTCAGTGGCAGATGTGGAATCAGCATTCCCCCAGTCACACATCAGGGAACCCAGATGCATCATCTCTGCCTGGCCAGCTCCACGTTGTCTTCCAGGAGAAGGACCTGGAACATTCCAGGAAACCCTCTCTGACAGCTCCCCTCCTTTTTCTGCACCCCACCCCAGGGTCTCCCCACAATAAGCACGCAGAGAGTGTAAAACTTCCCTAGCGTTGCATCCTGCTGGTCACGTTTCTAGCCGAGCACTTCGCCCCTTCAGTGACAACTGCTTACTCCTATGTCTCCCCTTCTAGAGACTTTGCTTTTGAGGTCAAGGACACTGTTCTTCTCTGGACTTCCCCAGCCTCGCCTGGTGTCTCGCCTACAGGCACTTGGTCCTCATTTGTGGGATAAATGTTTGGGCAGGCTGAGACCCACTCGAAAACAAAAATAAGTAGTACCATCATAGGGACAGTGTATTTACCAAGCACTCAGTACATGGCATGGGAATGCAGTCAGACTCCTCCAGTCTCTCACTGTGTTCATGTCTGCATAAAACAATTGAGGTATATTTATATTGAAAGAGAAGTGCATTAATTTATTTCACGAAAATACATATGCACAAACATATATATATATATATATATTCAAAGAATTCTATGTGAAACTTTAAAGAGGCACATGGTAAGTATTAACTAATTACAATTATCTACAACTTCCATCTATGCACGGACAAGTTTTGATGTGAATTTAGTGATGCGGGTGGAGCTATTGTTTTAAAGATATATATATGTGGGTGGGGAGGGCTATGTGCAAACTCTGTATTTTCTGCTCAATTCTGCTATGAACCTGAAACTGCTCTAAAAGAATAAAGTCTATTTTTAAAAAAAGATTTTAAAAAAAGATTTCTTTGAAATTCAAAGCTGAACATAGGATAGCTTGTCTCTACTGCAGGGAAAAATGTGGATACTGCTATTACAGAACAGTGAACCAGAAACAGAGTTTTTTTTTCCATCAGCAAATTTGATAATCAGTAATAAGGTATCAGGGTGTGCTAAGGGTTTTGAATGGATTATCTCATTTAATCCTTGCAAGGATTATGCTAAGAAAACATCTTATCTGCATTCTGCAACCGAGCAGACAGAGGTGGGGAGAAGTTTGTGACGGAACTGGAACTTCACACCAGATCTTTCTGTCTGGAAGCCAGACCCCTGGGCCACTGCTCTGCCCTCGCACCTGGCTACAATGGGGACAAATTCAACTGCACTTTCCAAAACAAATTATCAGTCCCAGAGACATAGGATTATGGGAAATATTGCCCCCAAATGGAGGGTTCCTTTACCATTTTTCAGTTGTGTCACCACCCTAGCAAGATGAGATGTTGGCAGAGCTGTCCCCAGACATTGTTCTCTGTCCTTTGTTTGATGGCTATTTTTTTTAAAGACTTAATTTTTTTAAGAGTAGTTTTAGGTTCATAGCAAAACAGAGACGAAGGTACAGAGATTTCCCATATATCGCCTGCCTCCAGAGAGCCTCCTCAACTATCCATATTTCCCACTGGAATGGTACATTTGTTACAGTTGATGAACCTACACTGAGACATCATTATTGCCCAAAGTCCACAGTTAAATTAGGGTTTACTCCTGGTGCTGTACGTTCTCTGGGTTTGGACAAATGTATAGCGACACGCACACATCATTACAGTATCATACAGAGAGAGTAGTTTCACTGCCTAAAAATCCTCTATGCTCCACCTGTGCGTGTCCATTACTGCCACCCCCAATCCCTGGCAACCACGGATGTTTTCCCCATCATCACAGTCTTCTTGCTTTTTCCAGAATGTCAGGTAGTTGAAACTATACAGTATGTATTCTTTTCAGATTAGCTTTTTTTCTACCTAGCACTATGCATTTAAGGTTTAAGCCGTATCTTTTCATGGCTTGATAGCTCATTTCTTTTTAGCACTGAATCATATTCCATTGTCTGGATGTACCATGGTTTATTCATTCACTTACTGAAGTGAATCTTGGTTGCTTCCCAGTTTAGGCAATCAGGAAAAAAGCTGTTGTAACCATCCATGTGTAGGCTTTTCTGTGGACCAAAGTTTCTACTTCTTTGGGTAAATACTAAGGAGCAAGTTGCTGGATCGTGTAGGTGTGTATAGCTTGGTAAGTTCAGACAAACCATCTTCCAAAGGGGCTGAGCCATTTTGCATTCCCACCAGCAACAAATGAGAGTTCCTGTTGTTCCACATCCTACCAGATGTTGATTTTGTCAGTGTTCCGGATTTCGGTTGATGGCTATTTTTAGCATCTGTGATGCACCTGAACCATGATGACAAAATAGATACAGCCCCTGCCCTCAAAGGGGCTTACAGGCCAGAAGAAGGAGAAGACACTAACTGTATAAGCACATAAATACATAGCCATACACTGCGGGATGGTTTCAGGATGCTGTGAGAACACACAGGGGCCTGGCTTGGTCTGGAGCATTTACAACGTGAATCATTTTCACTTTGATCAAAATTAAGTACTGTTTACAAAGGACGCCTGCAATGTGCCAGCCCCTCTGCCAATCACATCCCAATCCTGTAAAGTAGGTATTATTGTGCCCAATTTACTGGTGAGAAAAACTGAGGCTGAGAGAGGTCACAAAACCTGCTCAAGGTTGGCAGGGGCCAAGCCAAGGTTTGAATGAGGACGGACAAGCTCCAAAGTTCCTTTACCCTGAGCTCCCTCCTCAAACTGCAAGGATCTCCGTAAGCCCTGGTGACTGTTCTCACGAAGCCAGGAGAGAGAGTTGGAGACGCCACCCTGTCGTCCCACTGAAAATCTGTTGTCTGCCCTGGCTGGTTCCCCTCCAACCCACCCTCCAGAGGCAACCGGGCTGCTCTCGCCCCTTTCCTGCCAAACCATCAGGAGCAGCCCAGGGCTCTTGGTGCTACACTCTTCAGTTTAGTACGGCTCGCTGGGGGCCCTCCAGGCTTGGCCCTCTTCCCTCCGCACTCGCTTGCTAGACAGAAGTTCTGTGCTGGCTCCTTGGCTGTGCCAGTGCCTGTTCTTATAATGCCCTTGACCTTCTTTCCCCCCTGGCTAATTCCAGTCTCCTAAGGTCATGTCCTCCAGGGAAGCATCCACTGACTCCTCAGTCCTTCCAGGCTCATGCTGCATGCTCCCTCACCAGCCCAGCATCCATCCCACTGATTGGAAGTGGCGGGTGTTGCCAGTGCATCTCCCTCCTGGGCTTGGCACCCCCGAAACTCAGGGACCTCACAGTGCCACCATCAAGTGCAGTACCTGGCAGCTGGAACCCCGCATGAAATATCTGCAGATGGAGTAAGACTAACTTTTGTCATCACAGAGGGGGTGGAAGAAGAAAAGACCCTTCTTTTTTCATGACTGATTATAATTTTGGCTGCAGCATGTAGAGTTAAGCCAGATTCATCCATATTTACCCAACAACCTCAAATTCCAGACAATTACTTTTCGTTGTTTTCACTTGCTAAATATGTGTAATTTAACTAGTTCCCTTTCCGAGGAATACGAATATACTTATTGAAATAGATTTCAACAAGTTTTTAATGACAAAATACTTTTACAATATTTAAATTTTGTCCACAATCTTCATTCTCATGTCAAAGACTAATCTGTTACGTCTTTTATTTAAATGACTAGGTCTCAGAAAAACATAAAGAATGGCTCAATTATTACGTGGGATAATTAATCTCTGAAATTAAAAACTGTCCTCTGTCCAACTGATTTACAAAGAATCTTTTAATGGGCAAAAGAAGCTGCTTAATAATCTGCCTTCTGACAAATAAAAGAAAGTCAATAATTTTTTTGGAGGTGTAAAAGCTTTTTTTTCAAGATAACACATGGCTTCGGTTTTTAAATCTTATACCAACGTTATGGTGTTAATTACTTTGACATGTTGGTGGTAACCCATTTGAAGGGGCTGAAAGAAAGGATTTTCCCAGTCTCCTGTGTCTCCCTACTCCCCCTCCAAGCAAGCCCGGCCCCCAAAGTCCCAGCCTCGTAAACAAATCAAACAGCTTGCTAGCAGCTAAAGCCGGGCACAATTACAGGGTTCGACAATTCCACAGAAGAGTCACCAGGGGGCACTATAGGACCATGTTTTGTAATTTCAGGCGCCATTTTCCCCTCGGAATTGAGAAAATAAATTCTTGGAAAAAAATGTTAACCTTCTGAGCCCCGAACATCGTTTTATTTATTACTTTAAATATGCCATTGCCACTCATCTTAACTAACTGGGCTTGAAAGGTTATTTTACAGGACAGTGCCATAAAAAGAGAGGCACAATCAGGCTTCTTGGCTTTACCTTTCTGTGAAACGTCACCTTGGCTGTTCGTGTGTGTGGGGTGTGTGTGTGTGTGTATGTACATTTCATTGTTATCTTTGCAATTAAAGAAACCATTCAGGGAATCCAAAACTACAATGTAGGAGATTTCCCTGCCAAATCTTGATATTTCAGGCAAAAGGACTGTTTTCATTGTTAATACCTACGTAACTGTCTTCATTCATTTATCAATTCAACATCAGCAAACACTTATTAAGTCATTAATGTGTCGGTCCCTGGGCAAGCCATGAGACTTGAGCCCTGTCCCTCCCCCAGGGTCTTAAACTCGGTGAGAAAGCACTTGCCTTCCCTCCTGGGAGCCAGATTTCGTCTTAAAGCACCAAAATCTGTAAGTGAAAAGTGAAACATCTGTTGAGATCTTTTCTCTCTTCACTGCTCTCCAGAATTTTGTTTCCAAAAGAAAATAGTAAAGTTGTTTCTTTCTTGATGTGACAGTCTCAGACTGAGCATAAAGGCTTAAAGTTCTCATTTTGGAAAATGTATGTTAAGCAACTGAATTTCTGTTAATGGTATAAAATAGATGTTTGTGGGTTACTGTTTTTATTTTCCCTTTCCTATGTCAATTAGAATGAATGATTTTCAAATTTAGATCAGAGGAACATACCACCATTCTCGGCATCCAATGGCGGATGCTTCTGGACTCAGCTGGGCTCTGCTTGGCAGTCTCGACACCCAGCGTTTGTCAAAATAAGTGCGGGAAGTCAGTCTGTTTCCTCCTCCTCCCCACTCCATCCAGTCCCATTCGTTTGTAAAAACAAGGTGAAAGTGCAATGTGACATGGCCGGTTTACCACCATTAACATTTAATCCTCACAATGCCCCACAAAGTGCCCCCATTTCCTAGCTGAGCAAACTGAGGCTAGAAAGGTTCATGCAACCAGTATCCAGACCCAAGTTTATCCACCTGCCAAGATCACGTGCCCTCTGCTACTCGAGATACATCTCCGAAAGCCTGAAAATGACAGTAGCTCTTGCCAGACCACCTCCATCATCTTCCTGGGCACACAGCTGGACTACCTTTCCCAGCCTCCCTTGCAGGAAGGCAGCCCTATGGTTTCCATCCAGTGGAGTAAGAGGAGAAGTGAGGGACCAAGCTTCCAGGCCTGCCCACCTGCTACACAATCCTTCACTCCCCATCTCTAGGTCTCAGCCCAGCAACTAACTTCAAGGCCCTTGGGGATGGGGGAGCCACAGAACAAAAGATGCCTGCACCCTGAATCACTGCTTGGAAGGTACCCACCAGACACTGACGTTAAATGGTTCCATGAGCAAGATGTAACTTCTGTTGTGTTAAGGCACTGTGACGTGGGGTTGTGTGTTAAAGAGTTAGCCCTCATCACCTGACAATAGACAAGGAAAGATGATGGCATCCATGAAGGCTCCCATTCACCCACCCAGGGGCCTTGGGAGCCTTGCTCTAATTCTGTGATTGTGAACTTGTCACAACCTTCCAGGGCGTCAGTCAAAAAACAGCCTTAAGCCAAATGATCTTTAAGGTCTTTCCCTGATCTGAGAAAGTCCTATAATTCTGTGGTGCCCCTCCCTCACCCACTGCAGCCCCTGCCCCCTACTACTAATCCTTATATGCAGGAGCAAAGTTGCCTGGACCAGGAAGGGCTTGGCCCAAACTCTTACCCGCTCAGGTTTCCTTTCCACATAGCACCTTTCCTCTGCTTGCTGAGCCCAACTCAGCCATACCAGCAACATGAGATGTAAGATGTACCAGCAGGAAAACAAGTGTCTTCGCATGGCTCACCCTGGGCATGTCATAACCTTCCCTGTCCCCCTCCTGCCGCCTCCGTGGTCTGCATGGGAACAGAAGCATCTTCCACCAGGAGCAGGGCTGACTGTAGACCAAGACCCTGAAAACTGCTGAGCATCAGAAAAATAAATAGAAGGAATTCCCCTCTCTAAAAGCACTGATTCTTCAAATCACATCCCTTTGGCATCTATAAAATGTATCTATACTTAAGATACTAAGAATATCTTCAGTGGTTCCTGTGATATCATATCATTTTCTGTCACTGAATATGATGGGTGCAAAATGAAAATAGTATTAATGGAGATAAAGGTAGAACTGAGCATTTTAATCACAGACTTCTGGCCAAATCAGAAAAGGAGTGTGTTGCTTGCAGCATTTGTTATTCAAGCCGGGTACCTTACACTGAGACTAATTTCGCCCTCTCCTGGCCTACCTCGGCACTTCCACAGACAAGATGCGAATGCTTGCAAATCACTCCTGCCGCCGCCCACCTGTTTTATGAACTCTGCACCTGAGCTCCTGACCCGCCATAAACTCCCCAAGGGCAGGGAGCTTGGCCTCCCTGTGGCTCTCACTGCCCATGGCAGGCTGTGCTGAATTGGATACCACTGGGGTTTCTAGAAAAACCAGTGAGGGTTGAAACCTGGTTTTTGACAGTTGTGACAAATTGGTGGTGCAGGTGTAAAAATCCAGGGCTCATGTGCTGGCAGTTCTTGGCTATCTGGATGTGTCAGAAAAGAAAGGGGCAGAGGAGGGAAAGCTGTCAGGAGAGCAAGGACACAATAGATGCTCTTAATATTAAAATTTTAAATATCAACATAAATCTGATTAATCACAATGGCGGACACTGTTTGGGGGCCAGCCACTGATTTTCCTCCTTCCCCTCTTCCTCTATAACAGATTCCTTCCTCTCTGATCTCAGGAGGAGGTGGAGTGGGCAGAGAGCAGGTGCCTGACCCAAGCTTGGCCATTCAGAATCCCTTCTCTTCCACCAAAGTCACTGGCCAAATAAAACCCCTCCCTGGGGATTTTCTGCTGAACCATCCCCCTCCGCTTCCTCCCTTCCATGTTGCCCTTCTGTCCCCTGTAAACTAAAGAATCCTGGCCACTCAAGCCATTGACAGGACCCACAGTATGTATTGTTCTAATGCACTAGCACCTGACTCAAGCCAAATTATAAATTACCATAATCACCAAGGGTAAAATCCAAGGTTAATGATGAAGCAAATGAATGCACACTTAACGTATATAAAAGTGTTCTCTAACTGCTACAAGATGGAATAAGGTTAATTAAAGTAATTTTCAAAATATTAACAGAACCGTAGTTCCAGCAAGTACGAGAACATTATCAGCACATTTGAGTCATTAAAGGACTTAAACAATATATAGAGCCATGGAGAGAGCACTTATATTTCTGAAGGTCAAAAAAAGGATGAACTCTTAAGCTTTTCTTTATGTGTGTGTGTGTGAGAGAGAGAGAGAAAGCGAGAATATTCTATGTTTTACAAACTGCAGCATTATTATATAGAAGATTTAAACTGCTCTAATATTGAGGATTTCTATTTATGAAAGAGGTGATCTTGCTTATAGAAAAAATAATTGATTAAGTTTAACCATTCACGAGTGGACAGTTATTTGTAGGTACTTAAATATGAAGATCTTATCCGAGCACGGTCATTTGTAATTTTTAGTGCTTATCTGACCGCCTATAAGCACACAGATGAGTACAAAACGGCGACGGTTTCTGTAGTGCCACTGCTGCTTTGATTGATAATGAGAAGATACAGCCACCATTTTTAATTTTTAAAATGCAAGATTATTCTGGAGTAAATTAACCTAATCACACAGGGCAAGTAAATTAATGTCAGTTCATTACCTAACAGCAAAAATAATATTAACCCAAAGAATCTAAATCCACTTCTGACACATATTCAATTTTTATAATGTTACGTTGACAGTCTTTTCTAGATTATATGTGGTGGTTTTTCAGCATTAGCTGCTCTGCTAATTGGAAACGTTGGGCGTGAGAGCACAAATAGTCCAGGGGTGCTGAAGAAGGCTGCTTCCAGAATTGATCCAGCAATATTACAACTCGGACACCACTTCGCTGAAACACCATTGGGTATTTTGCAAGGCCAGTCTGCCTGCCGTAAATTCAGCCAATGAGAAGGTCTCAGGGCTTTCTGTGCAGTAGGTCTATTTTTTCCAAAGCAGCGCAGTAGCTCTGGTTTGAAGAATTCAGGCTCCTCGGCCCTCCTTCCTCCCCACTCCTCCCCCTCCCCCTCCCATCGCAAGTCGCTCGGGGGGGGTCGGGGTCCGGGGTCCGGACGGTGGTCCGGTCGGACGGCGGCGTCGCGTTCCTCCGGTCCGTCCCGTCCGTCGGGACGTAGGTTCCCCCCGTACCCCCCG